TAGCAGCATGGCCTGGCGTTGCCCGTGCTTGATTCAAAAATCGTACGACTCATACAGCAATTGCTATCACTTGACTTAAATTATTTTTGCCCTTCCTTGCCTTTAAAGGAGTGCCCTTTGCCGTGCTGATGTTGCTACATGCCTTATTTCTTGCCTATCTCACACTGCGAATTTTTTCAAAGCTCTATACTAAACATTAAATCTGTTACGAAAAAAGAACTAAACAAAATCAACACAAACCGATCAGCTTTAAAAAAAGGACCCGTAACTGGAAAAACCGAATGAAAAAAGAATGTTAACAACAAATACTTTTTCTCACCCAACCCAGTTCTGCGGAATCAGAATCAACGTTGAGTTTAAGCAAGCGAATGAGCCAATTGGAGTAAAGTGCCATGCAGATTTAAACTTTTCCCACTTGTGACGAATGCAGCTATCGATTTTTTTTGCATGCTGGCATGCTAGTTAACATTCGTGTCAGTCAGCTGTTGGCTCTCACGCTGGCCAATAGAATCTTCCTGCCTATTCGTGGGAGCCAGCTATTGGCACTCACTCTGGCCAGTAAGAAATGGCCGCAAACTACATGAAAGCTGCCGTAGAAGAATGAAAAAATCGATTATTTCTACTATTGATGGGAGTTGGGAAATGCAAAGTCGGTCTTGGCCTTCCCGCTAACTTGGAGCATGTGCATGTAAATTTTGCTGCAAATCCGTCGAAAATTGCGGCCGTGCATTCGTCACACACACACACACACACACACACACACACACACACACACACACACACACACATCCTGCCTTTTATAGATAGAGATTTCCAAGAGGATAACATACATTTAGAGCTCAATGCCCAGTACAGAGCAAGACTATAATATAAATAAAATTTAGAATTTGTAGGTTTGATGAATTAGATCGTGATTGCGATTCCAATGTAATAAATTATAACCATGGAATATTAGTTTTTGAGCCTTATATATATATATATATATATATATATATATATATATATATATATCAAGGAGTAACATAAGATATATACTAGTATGTATATACGTAATATAGATAGGCTTAAGTATGAGTATCATATATAACATTCAGTCTTGTTACATTTTTCTGCGTCTATAGCAAATAAAGTTAACCCAATCTTGACTTGAACTTCCGAAAAAAGCAAACAAACAATTGATATAACAATACGTCAACGGTTTGCCGCTGAATTATTAGGGTAAAATATAATTAATGTTTGTTAAGTCAAATATATTTCATTTTTCAAATTTTTTTGAAAACGACATTTCAAAGAACACAAAAAGAAAATCATCATTTATTAAATTTCTAATAGATTTTATTTTCAGAAGACAAACGTGGAATTAAATATTTTATAGAAAATTAAAGAATCAAGATTTGGGTTATTTTTGGCGTATCACATTTGTGATTTCGGTAAATAAGTTGTGTATCAAGGTTGCTATCATGATGGTTTAAATATCTCCGTATGGAGCTCTGGTCGGAGGGACGTATGTTCAACCATTTCGACTGTTGATATAAATATTTTTGAATTTGTTCCCCATAATGCATTTAAATTTTTTAAAAAAAGTGTTTCTGATATAGCTTTGATTTAGCCGACGAACATTTGCTGAACCTTTTCACAGGAGGACAATAACAGAAACAGAATTAAGAAAACAGTAAATAATGTTAGCTTAGACATTATGGTTACATCTAGCCATTTCAACTACAAAATAATGAGACATCGCTGCCAACTAGTACCATGATTAAATTAAGTCTAGCTACCGTAGAGAATGGTCATAAAAACAATGAAAGTATTTAGAAGAAAAGGCACAGGGAAGCTATATTATAACAGTAAGAAAGGGACTGAAAGCTGAGATGCCAGGGAAGGACCAATAACATAGAAAATATCCTTCAGCCGACAGGAATCGAAACTGTATCCTATACAGAACTGACATTTAGCCTAACGTACCTTAACCGATCGAGCCACGGATGATCGTCCGATTAGCAATGTCGATTTTACTGATTTTAAACTTCAATCTTCCATGAATCTCTCACGTACATTCATATCTGATCAAAGCGTATCCAAATGTAAACAAATGACGTCACACATTAATAATAATAATATATATATATATATATATATACTAGAATGACGTCACATAATATAATAATAAAATAATATATATATATATATATACTAGAATGACGTCACACATAATATAATAATAAAATAATATATATATATATATATATATATATATATATATATATATATATATATATACTCAAATTTTATAAACTCTGGTTTGATGTTTCGTCAATGCAAAAGTATTCTAGACTTGAACAGGCTAAGATTGTAATACTTTTGAACACTTTCCTAGCTATATTATGCCAATGAGAAAAGGACTGAATAACATTGCAATATCTATCTCTATCTCTCTCTGTCACTCTGTCTCTCTTTATATATATATATATATATATATATATATATATATATATATATATATATATATATTGTTGGTCAAACAATAAAACCACTAAGATGCAAGGGGCTGAGTGTGTGAGAATATGACGAAAGAAAACGTTAAGAAAATAATAAAAGAACAGGAATTAAGAAGGCATACGATCAAAGTTGATATTGCATTCGAATTTTTAAAGATCAAAGTTGACTGGAAAGCAAGAAGCCGGAAGAGAATTTCACAAGCGAGAAGTGCGAGAGAGAAAAACTTAGAACTTACAGTTACATCAAGCAATTTCCATCTGTAAGATGATGAGACCTTGGGATAAATCTCGTACTTAGTTTCAATTCATAAAGCCGAGGTATTAGAAGAAATCTCATCAGAGCATTTACTATGAAAATATTTATAGAAAAGGCAGAGGGAGGCTACGTTATGGCGGCGGGAAAGTGACTGAAGCCGAAATGATAGGTCATGACCAATCAGATGAGAGAATTTCCTGTCTATTTTATCATGAAACTCTAAATACATTGCAGAAACAACAGGCTAGATGTGACAACAATATTCTATACATAGACAAATGGCAGATTTATAAAAAAAAACAATGAACCATCTTTCTTAACAGAAGAACTAGCAGTTGATTTTTATGTAATGTTTCCACTTCAGGTCGGCGGAAAACGTTATTCCCAGAAGGCGCCAGTGGTCATCTTCCTGGAGGTTAGCATTAGCCATGGAAGGCAAGAAAGAAAAAAGGTTTTCTCAGATGATTAAAAGAAAGTAGTTTTGTTTTGGAGATGGTAAAGTTAATAAAAACATGTATTAAAGAGAGATTGCAGCCCAAATATACATACATACATACATATACACACACACACACACACACACACACACACACACACACACACACACACACATATATATATATATATATATATATATATATATATACTTACTCACATCATACTCACTCACTCTCTAATGAGCCAAATGATAACATACACCCATAGTAATATACACGTTTACACACATCATACTCACACACTCCCTAAGAACCAAATAACACACACGCAAACTTAACAGAGACACATTCCCTTTTCAGGAACCAATAAAACTGTCAAAATGACCAAAGGAATTCAGAGCAGCATGAATCCATCCAGCTCTTAAATAACAACTTAAAAAGAGACTGTTTGATCAACACAAAGACTGACCAAAATTCATGTTAAAAAAGATAAAAATCAAATGAAAACTACAGACAAAAGTTCATTTTCTCCATCAAGACATTCATTTCTGTAGTTCACTGCTACCAGCAAGCAGAAAATTATTTTTCTCCTGATGATGGCCATGTTGGCCGAAACTTGTCGAGTAATCTAAATGAAATAATAATAAAAACGAAGGAATATTAATATACAACCCAGTGAGGTCTGAAGATTTTAATTTTTAATATTTTTTATTGTTCAATATATATATATATATATATATATATATATATATATATAAATATATATATATATATAATGTTATAATGTTCAGTATAGTTTTTGCACTGATTGAATTCAAATGAAAAAAGAATCTATAAAACATTTTATATTTATTATTATTATTATGAATATTATTATTGGTATCATCATCATCATCATCATCATCATCATCACATCTTTCGGTTTCTGCTATGGTCAAAGTACCTACCAAATCTGTGGGAAGTCCAAAGGCAGGTAGTGATGTGTTATGGCTAGATTTCATGATTTGTTTTTCTAACTCTTCTAACATCACTAGCGTTACATGGACTAAGTTCTTCTTGAATGAGGTAAAGCCGATTATACGTACGCGCGCACACACACACACACACACACACACACACACACACACACACACATATATATATATATATATATATATATATGTATGTATGTATGTATGTGTGTGTATTTACGCACAGACACACGCACATTTGATTAGGTATTTTGTATATTCTTCAAGTTACTGTTTACTTATATGAAAAGTAAATATAAATAAATCTCTAAGAAATAAATATTTCCAGTTTGAAATAAAGATATGTTTTTCTTCAGAAATCCAAGAGCTAAGAACAAGGAATCTTTTCTCCTAGAGTTGGGAATCTTTTACCAATCTGACAGCAGAATAAATTTAGAGTTATGAAGGCTGGAAATATTTTCTGTAGATAAACAAAAAATGCTAAAAGTTATGCAATATGAGCCTTTGAAAAGACGTGTCCGCTGCTACGGCTGCTACTAACTGGGTTTCTTTTTTCAGTGCGTATTGCTTTGGGATAAAAACAGCATTTGCTTCTTCCCACTGAAGGAAGGAGATATAAATAGATAGAAAGAAAGAGAAAACGAGAGAAGAGATGCGGAGAAAGAAAAGAGAAAGATGTAAACATATTAAGTGAGTAGTGTAGAGAGAAGGAATATGAGTTGGTGAAAAAGAAAGAGAGAGAGAGAGAGAGAGAGAAAAGAGGTAAGAGAATCAATAGTGGAAAAAGAGAGAAATATGTTTAAAAGATTGATTGAAAGAATAGAGAGCGCGAGAAAGCTCAAAGCAAAAAGACTCGTTGAGAGTGAAAGAAAGAAATAAAGAGAGGAAGTGGTGACAGTGCGAGGAGAGTGAAGAAAGGAAAGCGAGATGAGAATAAGCGAGATGAGAATAAGCGAGATGAGAAAAAAGAGCAAGAAGAGGAAGAAAAAAGCGAATGAAAAGAAAAAGAGGGAAACGAATCAGAGAGAAAGAGATAGAAATTGAAAGAAAGAGAAGTCAATGGAAGAAGAATATGAGAAGATAAAAGATTATGTGAAAGGTTTACAGAGTTAAGAAAGGGCGAAGAGAAAATGGATGAAATGTGAGGGAAAGAGATGATCTGGGAGTATGAAAGAAAAGGAGAGAGAATCGGTGGGAGATGATGAAGCAGATAAAGAGAGGGGTAGGAAAATTATTAAGAGAGAAGCGTAGAAAGAATAGAGATATGATAGAAAAACAAAGGATGAGAGAGAAAGAGTGGCTAAATATTTGGAAGAAGAAATATTGAATGAAAAATCAGAAAAAAAAGGAATGAAAGTAACAAACGAATAATGGAAGCACTGAAGGGAAAGAAAAGTAGAGAGAGACAAATAAAGAAAAATAGAGAATATAAAGATGAAAAGAAAGAGATCTATGGAAAGAGAGAGAAAGAGAGGGAGAGAAAAATTATAGTTAAAGAAAGAAGAACTATAAATGGAAAGGAAAATAAATAAAACGAAGAGAAGACGACGAAGAGAGAAACGTCATAAGTCCAGATAGGATTAAGATTGCCACGCAAAGAGAGGGAGAAAGAAAATAAAGGAAAGCTTGAAAGGGGGGCAATAAGTTGGGAAAGAGCAGAAGAAGGAGAGAAGAAGGGGGGGATGGAATGGAACGGAAAGAAAAAGGAAAGAGATGAATTAAGAAAAGGGAAAATATAACCTCTTTGTTATATTTTTCCATGTTTTAACATAGAGAAGGGAAGAGTCGAAGAGAGAGGAAAAACGTGTTTGAGAGCTGAAGAAACAAAAGCATAAAGGAAAAAAAAGTGAGAGAGAAAGACTGAGAAAATCAAGAAGAGAGAGAGAGAGAGAGAAGGAGAGAGTTAGAGAGAGAAATGAAGAAGAAGAAGAAGAGAGATTGAAAGTGTAAAAGATTAAAACAAAAAGAAAAAGAACAAGTGAGAAAAAGCAATAAAAGAGCGAAAAAAGAGGGTGAGAGAGAGAGAGAGAGAGAGAGAGAGAGAGAGAGAGGGAATGAGGCCAAAACAGAAAGATGAGAAAAATGGATTGAGAGGGAGAGATTAAGAGAAAGAGAGATTGAGAGTGTAAAATAGTAAAACAAAAGAAAAAAGAACAAGTGAGAAAAAGGCATAAAAGAGCGAAAAATGAGACGTAGAGAGAGAGAGGGGGGGAAAAAGAGTGAATGAGTAAGTGAGGGAGGGAGGGAGGTCCAAAACAGAACGATGGGAGAAATGGGTTGAGCGAGAGATTAAGGGGAAGAGAGATTGTAAAAGAGTAAAACAAAAGAAAAAAGAACAATTGAGAGAGAGAGAGAGAGAGAGAGAGAGAGAGAGAGAGAGAGAGGTGGGTAGAAAAAGAGAGAGATGAAATAAAATAGCCATTTGGAAATGAAAGACACTTTAGACTGAAATCAATTCTGTAAGAGAAAAAAAAAATCATATTTTGAAGTTCCAATCAGGAAGCAAACTCCGTATAAAAATTTGAAATATGCTCCGCGCTGCTTGTTTTTGGAATAAAAATTCCTAGCCAGAATGTTTCTCGGAATCACTATTATTTTCTGCGTTTCAAATTGGCCAATTGACACATGTTTCATTACATATTTTCACGTACACTTACAAATATTCCAAGCCAAAAGAACACCCTTCTTAATTTGATAGCTGACTTTCTAAACAATTTTTGCATTCAGCTACATATTTACCCGCATTATCTATGTTAAAACTAAGCGGGTGCGCACACACAAACATACACACACACGCATATACATATATATTTATCTAACATTATTAATCATTTAATATTTTAGTGATATATGAAATAAATACTGGAATGTAGAAGTTTACTTGCTGAATCATGGCAACACTTATGTGCGTAGTTAGGATAAAAGTCAGACATTTCTGCGCAAATATAAGCAAATGGCAGCCATTTGTATGACATGTACTGAATAAGTCTCAAACTATAACTTAAATTGCAAGTTCGAAGATTTAGAAAGGATTTAAAGGGAAATGTTTATTAACTCCTGTGTGTGACAAAGTTAAGAGAATGTTGGAAATTGCAAAAATGATTGGCAGTTAGCAGTGAACAGGGAAGAAATTTGAGCACCCTGGTAAACATGAAGTTATGAGAAGCACAAGTTGAGGTCTTTATCTCGTAAAGAGATTCGCTATAAAACGCCGTCTTTATTAAGCTATGTAATTTTTGGAAGTGTTTGAAAGCAAAAGATTTTGCGTTCTAAATCAAGAAGTAAATAATATAAAACTGATCACTTATACTATTTTAAAAGATATCCGTATGAAAAATCAAATAAAATGTCCGGGAGAATATATAAAAACTGATTAACAAATACCGTGCTGCTCTCAATGTGCTAAACAGACGGAGAAAAGGCTGGATGTCTTTAGACAGAAACCGCCATCACAAGTTGAGGTAGAGAGATGTTTTAGTGTGAGAGTATGGATGATAAAGCTGTGGGCCCATGGCGACGTACGGATGGAGTTAAGCTGACAACTTTTGAAGGCAAAGTTAGAACCATTGTTCAAGAAGAATCGAAACGATTTCAGAAAAAAATAATACAACTTTTATGCATGAGAATGCTCCGTCACATTCACCGAAAATAACTGAATAATATGGATTTCAGTGACACCTGTTTGAATAAGTCACTGGCTTATTTACACGGCTTTTAACCCCGATTGATTGCCTGACCCATCCTGAAGAGAAGTGTTTTTGAATGATGTTCTATCGAAATTGTTATGGAGTAGTTTCACAATGGAATCTTGTATTTGTACTAAGTCGGTCCTAAAATAGGTTCGACGTACAAAACGTTAGGAACTTGATAAAATAGGTAATGACGCAGAGAAATCTAGTGGTGGTCGCTGATACTTTAGTATCCGACTAACAGTCGTCCGGCATCGACTGATTGACCCACGATATTTAGTCACCCCCCACGAGGGCATCATGTGGCACAAGGCCGGTTTAACGTGGGATCTCCGAGCCCGTGGGATCTCCGAGCCCGTGGGCTCGGCCAAAAATATGCCCTTTGAACTCGTATAAACAGGTTTAGGGTCGGTTTACCTCCCCGAAAGAGAATCCGCCTTTCGGCGAAGCCTCGTTCAGGTTCCTCCCCGCCCGAAGGCAGATAGTTCAACCGATCAGCCAGTCGACTGAATGACCCACTCACTGAGCGAGTCCTACTACTCCTACTTATTATAGGTGGGAGAGTCTATTAACAATAGAATAGGTGTGTTCCACTATAACAGAAATACAATTCACGAAATGAAGGAACGATTTCTAAAACGAGTTTCATAATGTGGAGCATACATTTTATATTAATCGTGTCTTTATAACATTGGAGATATAAACGTAAAACAGATGCCGATGTTCAAATAATTGGGAAGCTGTTTCATCACAGAATGGAAAACTCGACACGAATTGATTACGAAAGAATCATTCTAAAATCTAAGCAAGGTGTTGATAAATGGAAAAAATAAGCAAAGAAAATTGTTCTGGATTGCTATTTGTTATCCATCCTTTTATATGGCAGTGAATGTTGGACAGAGATGAGGAAAAAAAGACTAGACGCAATAGAAATGTAGTTCTAGATAAGGAAACTAAAATTTCCACGAATGGAGCGAGTAAGCAACAAGGAATCCTTAAATAAAATGGCAACAGAGTGAACACTTATACTCAAAATCAGGAAAAGACAGCTGAAAAGTCCTTGGGCACTTAATGAAGAAGGGGAGTTTGGACAACTTAACTCTCAAACTTGAGGGCAACAGAGACAAGGAAAAGCAACAATCCTCTTACCTAACTAGCTTAGATGAATGGATATTAGAACTAGGGCGAAGCGGGCCTTCGCAAAGAGAGAAAAACTGCTAAGAGTCATACGAAATAGAAAATTATGGAGAGCCATGATCCCCTATATCCTAAAGGGATGTAGCACATAGAAGAAGACGTCATCACAATGACACGTTTTCAGTTTTGTTAAGTTAAAGGTGTAGTTATGGTTAGCGAGGAATCCGAGAGCCGGGTTCGAATTCCAGTCGAGTTCATTACATTCACTTACGTGCTAATAACCTTGGGAAAGGTATAAATCCATCTCTTCTCCCCGACTCCAGCTATGAGGAAAATATCAGTCCAGAATGTTTTCTATAGCCTTCGGTGGCAACCAGTCTAGGAAAAGGACTACATTCAAACCATCTTCTGTCTTGTAGGTCCTACCTCTTTCGACAAAGAGGTTACCTTCCTAAACAAATCTATCGTCTCTAAGAAAGGAATTTCAGGCCGCAATAGAAAAAAATGGGCTCTTCGAGTTTAGCACGATGGTTCCAACCAACACAAGATTAGAATTTGGCACGGCGCCGCGGCCCTCTCAGATTTTGGAGCATTCAGTTCCGGCATATTTGACGATGACGATTTCAAAGTATTTGTATTTGTAAACTTTGCGCACGTCCTGCAAATATATTTATTTTAATTAGAAATTATCGTAGTTTCAGTCACGGGTTTAATAATGAGTAACTCTGAAAATTCATAAGACTTTTGCCAACTAGTTACAGCGTCTGCTTTAATTTGTACAGGGTGAGATGGATAAATTCTTGTCCAAATTACGCAAAGATGAAAATAACACTAACATCTCATTTTAACAGATATAGTTACCAAACGTACACAAAAATATCTTGAAATACCAAATAGTAAATTTATTCAATAAAATCTTCATTAGCTTCAACTATGATCCCCAGACGACTTTGGAATCTCCTGCAACTCTTCAGGACGATATCTTTGATTAAGTTGGTGAATGCTGCCATAATCCGTGCCTTCAGTTCATCTTAGGTGTTCCAAGAAGTTTTGTTGGTCTCTCGCTCAACTGTGCCCTCACACATCCAGGGGGTAGTAATCTGGGGAGTTAGTTGGCGAAATGTAAGGGGTGGTGTGGTCGCAGAAATTGTCTGACAAACATGACTGGGTTCCCCTCTTGTGTTGTCTGACATAGGGTCTTGAGTAGCCACCCTTTTGACTCTAGGCAACAATACCTCCTCAAGGTACTTGATGTAGGCCTCCGTGTTGAGTCTGAGGTTCTGTGGGAAGGTAAATGAAGGCCATCAAGAGTGATCACTCCAAACGCTTTCATAATCCCCCTTAGACTCATTCAGCTCTTTCTGAATCTTCTGCAATGTCATCTCATTGTCAACCAAACGGCGCGAATGCTAATCAGTACAGCGTGCCGTTTCCAAATTTCTGGCCAAGTGAATTGGTTCATTGTGCTCGTGTTCTCATAGATGGTGCATAACTGACCCTAGTATACTGTGCAGTCGACAAAATCGAAAACAATCAACGCGCATGCGCGAAATTAAAAATATATAATAGCGGCAATTTACATCAACTTGTTATACGATTGGATGTGTGTGTGTATGTGTGTGTGTGTGTGTGTAACGAATGCACGGCCGCAATTTTCGACGAATTTGCACCAAAATTTACATGCACATGCTCCAAGTTAGCGGAAAGGCCAAGACCGACTTTGCATTTCCCAACTCCCATCAATAGTAGAAATAATCGATTTTTTCATTCTTCTACGGCAGTTTTCATGCAGTTTGCGGCCATTTTGTATTGGCCAGAGTGAGAGCCAATAGCTGGCTGCCACGAATAGGCAGGAAGATTCTATTGGCCAGCGTGAGAGCCAACAGATGACTGACACGAATGTTAACTAGCATGCCAGCATGCAAAAAAAAATCGATAGCTGCATTCGTCACAAGTGGGAAAAGTTTAAATCTGCATGGCACTTTACTCCAATTGGCTCATTTGCTTGCTTAAACTCAACGTTGATTCTGATTCCGCAGAACTGGGTTGAGTGTGAAAAAGTATTTATTGTTAACATTCTTTTTTCATTCGGTTTTTCCATTTACGAACCTTTTTTTTAAAGCTGGTCGTTTTGTATTCATTTTGTTTTCTTCTTTTTTCGTAAGAGATTCAATGTTTAGTATAGAGCTTAGAAAAATTTCGCAGTGTGAGATGGGCAAGAAGTAAGGCATGTAGCAACATCAGCATGGCAAAGGGCACTCCTTTAAAGGCAAGGAAGGGCAAAAATATTTTAAGTCAAGTGATAGCGATTGCTGTATGAGTCGTACGATTTTGAATCAAGCACGGGCAACGCCGGGTCACGCTGCTAGTTGTAAATAAATGTATATAAGACAATATAATTATTGGTATTTATTATTTAATATCCGATATATAAAACTTACGAGGCGTCATATGGTTGACATACGCGCCCGGAGAAGACTCTTGCAATTCATTTATGGACCCGGAAGTGGCTCTGCTAACAAAGTTTGTAATCGCAGAGTCTGGAAGTAGTTCTTGACATCAGTTTTCATTTCTTTATCACCGCCTGACTTCGCACCCTCAGACTTCCGTCTCTTTTGTCATATGACAAAGGCACTGTGGGAAAATGTTGTGCC